CGCCAAAACTAACGGGAGTCCGAGCGTACTATTCAGATCCTCGAGGATATGCTTCGGGGTTGTGTCCCTGGATTTCAGTGGGACGTGGGAGAGGCACTTTGCCATTGGTAGAGTTTGCCTACAACAACAGTTTTCAGTCTAGCATCGGTATGGCACCGTTCGAGCCTTGTATGGGCCGACCGTGTAGGTTCTCCAGTTTGTTGGGCCGAGTGTGGTGATGCACCTTTGTTAGGTCCGGAGTTGGTTTAGGGAACGACGGAGAAAGTTGAGCTTAATCCGTAGGAGGCTTGTTACAGCCCAGAGTCGGCAGAAATCTTATGCTGACCGTAGGAGGAGGCTTTTGGCGTTTGAGGTAGGTGACCATGTCTTTCTGAAGATATCACCTAGGCGAGGTTTGATGAGGTTTTGGGAAGTGGGAAGTTATCCCCTCGGTTTATTGGACCTTTTGAGATCCTTGAGAGGATTGGCGAGGTGCTTATCGGTTAGCTTTACCGCCGCAGTTGTCCGGAGTGCAGACGTGTTCTATGTGAGTATGCTTCGGAAGTATGAGCCAGATCCATCAGCAATGTGTTGGATTGGAGCGATTTAGAAGTAAGTAAGGATGCCTCGTATGAGGAGAGACCGGTTCGGGTTCTTGGATTAGGCGGGATCAAGGTCCTGCGTGGCAAGACCATTTCTTTGGTGAAAGTTTTTGTGGAAACATCACGGAGTGGAGGAGGCCACTTGGGAACGCGAGTTGGAAGTCCGCGAGAAATATCCGGACTTGATTTGTTAATATGTAATCTTGTATTTACATTTTGATATTGTGTTAAACTTGAGAGCTTTTATATCATGTCTTAAGTTGTGAAACATTGAAAATGTTTGGTTTATTGGAAGTATGTTTTGGAACTTGCTCCATAGGGAAGTTGATGTACATTACTATATGTTGTTAAAATATATTGTTGAAATTGGAAAGGGAAATGCGTAATGTTGATGCAATGTGAAAGTACATATGTTGTTTACATATTGTGAAAGCCTCTTGATAAGAGATGGGATGACCGGTAATGGTCAATTGTTGAAGTTAAAAATGTAACATTGTTAAAAAAAATGGAGGAAAACCTGTTTTTGAAAACTTGTGTTTAATTTCGGGGACGAAATTCTTTAAGGGGGGGAGATTATAGCGAATCCCGGGTTTACCCTTGTTGTACAGTGATCCGGACATGTGTCCGTGGATGTCTGATAGTTGATTATTATCTTTGTTTACATCCTTTCTTAATTTGTATTTGAGTTTATAGGATGTGCTGGGCCAGGTGTGTTGCAAGTTGGTTGAGTCTAGAAACCAAAACTAGTTGCCAGAATTTTTGCCTGTCCGCTCAGAGCGGGGCTTTTGGCGCTCGAGCGGGGAAAACACCCTTCCAGTATTTCTGTGCATGTTGGACGCGTCGAGCGTGGGATTGGACGCTCGGGCGGGAGTGTTGTGTGTGACGCTCGAGCGGGGAAGTCTGGCGCCGAGCGAAGGCCTGCGTTCTGTAAAAGTGCTGGGAGTGTGTATCCGGAGACTCGAGCGGGATTTGGACGCTCGAGCTGGAGTCTGTGAGTGACGCTCGCAGCGGAGGGTTGGACGCTCGAGCCGGGCGACTTTTATATAAGTCCGAGATCTCGACTTTGATGGCATCACTTTTTCAAGATCTTTTTCTCTCTCTTACTTTTCCAAAAAGCATTTTCAGAGCTTCTCACTCATAAAACCGGCCCTTCCTACTTTTAGATTTGATCTAGTAAAGATCGTTTGCTCACCTTTTGTCTCTTCACGAAAGTTGTGTTGATCGTCGAGGGCTTCCTTTTGATCTGAAAATTTCAAGATCTGGAGCATTTTTGATTTTTTGGTTTCATCTTCTTTGGGGCTCCGAATTTGAGGTAGGGAACCTACTCCTTTCTATGGTCTTTGTCTCTAAAATTTGTATTTTGAGATGTTGGGTTTGGTTGGGTAATTTTACGAGAGTTTGGGCTTTTGTGTAATTTTACAAAAGTTGGGATTTTATTTATAATAAACCTAGATGCATGTTTGGCATAGAGAAATGGAATAATTGTTGAACATTGATGAAAATGGGACCCTAGGGTTGAATGTAAATTATGGAATTTGACCTATTTACATCATTTGGTTAATTGGGATGATTAATCGTTAGAGAAGAGAAATGAAATGGAAATGATGATAATGGGAATATACGGGGTTAAAGGGCTGATTTGATTACTTATCACTCACCAAATTGGAATGTTGATTAAATTATCCATTGTGTCATTATTTTCTGTTTAGAGATAAACTGCTTTGGGCTATCGGTGGAGGATAGTCGTGTTGTTGTAGTTGACATGCATGAGGATTAGGCAAACTAAAAACTAATCGATTGAATGAGTCATAGTGTATGACGGTGATTGAATACGTTAAATTTATGTATTGGTTTGATTGCTATAGAACCATTGTGTTTTATAGTGTTGTTTGTTAGAGGAGGAGATAGGGGATGTACTCCGCGGTTTAGGGGAAGATGGGGGATGTACCTCTAAACCGGATAGTGTTGGGAGGAGATGGGGTGGAACTCCGTAGACAGAGCTCGATATGCTTGTCTAAAGAAATGAAGATAGAGCTCATATGCTTATCTTTGAGAAGTGTAGATATAGCTCGTATGCTTGTCTAGAGAAGTGAAGATAGGGCTAACATGCTTATCTTTGTGAAATGTGGATGTAGCTTATATGCTTATCTGTGAATGTGGGATATTGTTGTTATACATATCTGTTGAAATGACGATAGAGCTAACATGCTTATCTGTTGAAAAGGGAAAAAATGAAAAGTAACTTGGACTCATAAGTCGTTTGTCATATAATGTAGTTTATATGGATGTATCGGTGTTGGCCATCTATCAATTGCTAATCTTTTAGTCATTGTTCATGGTTGGTTTAGTGTATTTCTACTGGGCTGTGGCTCACCCTATATGCGGAATATCATTTTCACGGTACAGGTAGCATGCCACCTCCAAGGACATAGCTTGGAGGCCAGAGCGGACTTTTGTGTTGTCTTTACTTTTGATGTATTACATGTAATTTCAAGCCAAGGCTTAAATTGTAATGAGTTTAAGAACTCTTTGTTGTAACCAAGTGTTAACTTGGAAGGCTGTGAGGCCCGTAGGGCATTTGCTTTTGTTGTTAACATGTAATACTTTGTGTAAGGATTATTTCTGATTAAAGAAGGATGTGAGTACTTTTACTTATCAAATGCATGTCTCTTTATTGTTGGGTTTAATGTTGTTATTTTGGGGGCGTTACAGATTCGAGTTGAGCCATGTCTATTACTGATAGTCTTACAGACAAAGCTCCAATGTTGTTGTTGAAGTTTTCGATCTTTGTGGTACCAGGTATCGAACACACATCATTTCCTTGGTGATGGACCCATGCTAATGCTAGTTGTGATGGGGTGCATCCGTTTCTTTCTGCCATTTCGTTAACTTGTTCGAAAATGTTTTTGTTATGTTTCAAATTATCTGGTTGAAACCTTGGTAGATTCTACACAAATCGAAGAAAAAACATATTCAGCATCACCATTGCAAAATCAACATAACGAAGGATAAAAAAATAAGATGTGTCGTACAAATTTATTTTGGTGTGACCTTTTATCTTTTTTTTTTTATTTTTGGCAAAAAAAGAAAAGAAAAGGTATCTAGTCTACTGTAGAAAGTAAATAATTGACTTGGTGTGAATGTGTGTTCTTTTGTCACGTTTTTGTATTTTACGAAAATGCCCTTAACAATTTGATAACTTGTCAATAGGAATAACTTAGCATAAACTGATTTATATATTCAAAATTTTATACACGGTTTTCATTCATTTTCTTCGTTGTTAAATTACATATAAAAAATTTTATACACGGTTTTCATTCATTTTCTTCGTTGTTAAATTACATATATTTGTATATGCATAACCCAGAACTAGTATTGAATAAAGGAAGCCTAAATGGCCTACAAATTAGAGAGAGTCATGAGAAGGATGAAGCATGAGTACTGGTATTTGTATGATGCGGGTATGTTGATATTGTAAAATCCAAAAAAAGTAACATATGGATACAACTTGATACGCGTGTAAAAAATGATTTATTTTTAATTTAGAGTAATGGAAAAATTAGTCAAATTGTTTAATTTGTTAAGATCTAGCCTATAATTAACATTTAACGTCAAAAGTAAATATATAAATCAAAACTAAATGTCAATATATTAAATAACTTACAAAGCATAGTTTAATTTTAAAACCATGTTAAGTATAAAACTAAAAATAAAAAAAAGTCTAGTGAAAAGAGTTCTATCTCTATAGTAGAAGAAAATATTGTTTTAACTAAGGTATGGTATGACTTGGATATATATTAGGTATGCCTGGATACGTCAAAAATCTCGGTACATATGAAGAAGTACCATACGAGATATCATACGTCGGTAAGTATCTACTATGGATACGACAAGTTTTTTGAAATACCCATGCTTCATAGAAGTCAGTCGACCACTCCCTAAACTCTGATGTGGCTCAAATCTATGCCATACACTTTATTTTTTTGGTATTTTTTATTTTTATTTTTATAGCTTTTATCTTCTAAAAAATTACGAATCATAGGTACAAAATTTTAAAAACTCTACCCTTCTTATTTAAATTTATTTTTTTTTTTGGCTTTTTGATAATCAACAGAATTATAGAAGAGTTGTAGTGATCTTATTGTTACAGATTATGCCTTTAGTGAAATTTTTTATTTAGTTTTGATTTAACTACATGATCAAAACAAGAAACAAGATGTTAAGCAATAGTTTTTAAGCATAATGCTACAAACATTAATTCACCGTGGAAATAGAAAAATGCAAGTATGATGCGCGCAAACCTTTCGGGCATCATTTTCAGTCAAGTTCTTGGCCATCTTTGCCCCTGAAGAAAAGAACCCCCTGCCCAGAGGACTGTATGCAACAATCCCAATTCCTAGTTCTCTGATTATATCAAAACGACAATGGCAAAGATTAGAAAACATTGGATTTTTGCTTATTGCTTGCAAAACTAACTAGTTAATATAACAATAGTGCCTCTACCCCTCACCTGCAAGTAGGAATGATTTCTTCCTCTGCATCTCTTGTCCACAAGGACCACTCCAACTGCACTGCTATTATGGGATGAACAGCATGAGCCCTTCTAATTGTCAAAGCCGAGGCCTCTAAGAGACCTACATACTTGATTTTACCCTCTTCAACCAGTTTATTGAGTTCTCCCATCTACAAAAATGTCATAAAAGGATTATCAGATGCACAGTAATGCTCTTCAGAGAAAATTCAGCGTTTAAAGCAATCAGTTGGTTGTTAAAAGGATGACCTAGACCTACCCTACTACATAAGACTTCTGCTAAAGTCAGGTCTAAAAAAGATAAGATATTTACACAACTTTACTTAATTTTGGGAGAGATTATTTCTGTAACTCGTTAAATCAGAACCACTGGAGACAAAATTAGCTAGTGATTGTAGCATAAAAGGTAATACCTATCAACTTCAATTGTGTTAGGTTTTATGAGATGACTTTTTGACTTTTTACAAAAAGATATATAAAAAAAAGAGAATTTTTTTTTTTTTTAACCATTTCTTGAAATTCAAAGACAATCAGGTTAAGATATCTAGGAATTTAAAAAGCAGCCGTTTATCTATTTTGAATTGTACAATTTTTTTGACAACCTCCCATGTGGGAATTTGGTGAAGATCCCTATTTTCTTTCTCAGCTTGGAGCACTCAAAATTGTCATTGAACCGAACACAAATGTAAGGTAAATAGATAGGCCTATGACAAGTCAACAATGCTGCACTTGATCTTAGACAAAAGGCCAAGACAACAGATTAAGATAACTAGGAAAACTCTACCATGTATATCTTGTTACATATTTTTTTTAATAAATATTACTAATTTTTGTAGCAATTGTCATACAATATTTGGTAGAGTTATGACAAATTTTTATTTTTGTAACAAAATTACAACAATTTGTGATGCAAACGGTTTCTACAACGAAATGTTACTTAACAATTTGAAGTATAATATAATCTAGGGTAAATTATGCAAATAGTCCCTATAGTTTATACGATGTGTCAATTTGGTCTTTATAGTTTTAATTTGCTCGATTTTGCCCCTTAATTTAACGGATTGTGTCATTTTAGTCCAATAAATAACGGTTGTTAAGTTAATTTAACGGAAAGTCAAACAATATGTCAATTTGGTCCCTGTAATTTACACGATGTGTTAATTTAGTCCTTGTAGTTTCAATTTTTCTCGATTTTGACAGAGACTAAATTGACACATTGTGAAAAATATAGGAACCAAATTGACACATTGTTTGACTTTTCGTTAAATTAACTTAACAACCATTATTTATTGGACTAAAATGACACAATCCGTTAAATTAAGGGGCAAAATCTAGTAAATTGAAACTATAGAGATTAAATTGACACATCGTATAAACTATAGGAACTATTTGCATAATTTTCCCTATAATCTATTATTGGCAAATAATATTTCAATGAGAAAAAGCGTAACACTATAAAAAATAAGTAATTATATCACAAATTGTTACAACTTCACTTTAAAAATTGCAAATTATCATTAGTCTACAGGAAAATTGCATAACACTTATAATAAAGATTTAAAACATTTAAAAATAAAATAAAAAAGTATGAAAGGTACAAGAATGGAGAGGGGGCAACACCGTGATTTCGATGGGGACAGAGGGTGTCAATCGATGCTGGTAATAAAGAACATGCAATGGTGTCAGCCTGGCTCCGCAGGGCTGCCTCTCATATGCTTCTCTCTCCTGCTCTGGAGGTGTTGGGGTCACTGCTCGTGGTAAATACACAACAAGGTGACTGTTGTGGTCATTTTGTGGTGCATTAAATGGGATTTATTTTATGATCTGAACCGTCATTCTTGTAAGATTTGGTTGAGTACTTTTAAGCCTACCAAAAATCATATTAAT